TGCTGGATGTGTTCGTAGGAGTTTGTCACTTGATGAAATGAAATATCTATAGTTTCTGAAATGTGACTTAAGATAGAAAAGGAAGAATTAGTAGAGCTATTATTTTTTTTGTTAGATATGTTAGTTTGTTTGTGTTAGTTTTATATGAATATAAAGGTGAATTTGATATGTATATATAGAAAGGAAAAAGAAAAGAAAAGAAAAGTTTATTTTTGTAATTTTGAATATTTTTAAGAAATTTTTGGTTTTTATGTCTTTGTAAGAAGAAACAAATAAAAGAGAATTAAATTTGAAAAGAGAAGAAAGATTATAGTCATAATAGGTTTATTTGATGAGTTGTTAAAGGAACAGACTTCTTTTCTTAGGGATTGTGAAGTGTTTTCACACTTTTTAATTTGTTTCCTCTCTCTGATCAAGAGATCGATATGGGAGAGATGTGAAAAGAAGTCTATTATTATTATTATTATTATTATTATAATTTATTTCTTATTATTTTCACATAACAAAATTCACATAATATTTTATCATATATTATGTTATAATATTCAGTAATATATAATAATGTTCTATAATATATTGTAATATTCAATAACATATTATAAAGAATTATAATATATATAATAAAATAATTAGCTATATAATGAAGAGTTTTATCTTGAAAAATAAATTATTAATTGATTATTACAAAATTTAGCTAGTCAATAAATTGTTTCTTGTTTATTATTAATAAAGTATTGTATATTAATTAATTTTAATAAATAAACTCACATTATAATAATTATATTAATTGTGTATTATTGAATATCAATTAAAGTTGCTAAAGAATATTAGTACTATATTATTTTAGGACTATTTTATACTAAGTAAATATTATAATCTATTAGTAATAGTAATAACTTATTTCAAAAATAGAAGAAAATACATAGTGTAATAATTCTAAAATAACTGATTGAATATAACAATAAAGAAATTGGATTAGATATTAATTGAATATTCATGCCATGATAATATCTACCAAAAGTCTGATTATGATATTGTACTTAGAAAATATAATAAAAAGTTTATTATAATATACTTAGATAATATAACAATTTATTCTGATATCTTTAATAATTATCTAATACATATTTGCAAAATATTTGACAAAATTCATGCTGCTGAATTAAAAATACAAAATAATAAATATAACTTTAATAAAACTTCTTGATTATATCATCACACAAAATGGAATATATCCAGATTCAACAAAGATTGAAAAAGTTCATGATTTTTCAGCATTAGTGAACTTAATAATACTTCATAATTTTGTTGAATTGACATCTTATTACTATTGATTTATTAAGAACTTTGCTAAAATAGTATTATTATTACACAAGTTATTTTACAAAAATCAATCATTTAATTGAACTACAACATGCCAAATAATATTTGAAAAACTCAAACAACATTTCACTTTAGCTTTAATACTAATATATTCAAACTTTAATAAATCTTTTGTACTTTATACTGATGTCTCTGAACTTGAACTTGGTGCTATTCTGATATAAATAAATGATAAAAATCATGAACATGTTATAACTTATGCTAGCTGAAGAGTATCCATAACTGAAAGCAAATATAGTGCAATTGAGTTAGAATATCTTGATATAATTTGAGCTGTCAAATTATTTAAATCTTATTTATACTCTTGCTATCTATTAATTATTTAGTTCTAAAATAATTAATTAATAAATCTAATTCACCTAAATGCTTAGCTCACTAAATAATATAACTTTGTGAATATCACTTTGAGATTGAACACTAAAAAGACAAAATTCATTCCAATATTAATCTATTCTCTAGAATTTCACATTATATTATATCTAATTATTATCCAACATAAATTTTAATAACTATATAAATATCACCAATTACTTGACTTCTTATAACTTATCAAACAATCTCTCAATGAACAAACAAAAATGACTAATGACAAATCTTAAAAAATATCTTATTAAAAATAATATTTTATACAAAAATAATAAAGAATAATCACTTTGAGTAATCAAGGTCAATAAAATTGAAGACATTTTAAAAAATAAACACTCAGATTTACATGCTGAATATTTAGATATAGAAAATACTTTTTACAAAATTAACAAGTAGTACTTTTGGTTTCAAATATGAAAAAATATTGAACAATATATTAAATTATATAATACATATCAACAGAAAAAAAAATAAAGAAAAATAATATTCTAATATTAATCAAGTTGGAAAATCTTTTAAAAAGATTGGTATTAATTTAGTTGGATTTCTAGCAATAACAACAAAAAAAAATCACTATATTATTGTAGTAATTAATTATACTACCAAATGGATTAAAGCTAGAGCTATAAAAGATGTAATAGCAATATTAATTATATCTTTTCTAATTGAAGATATAATAACTTGACATGACTTTTCAAAAAAATTAATTAATAATTATGATACTACTTTTGTAAATAAAATTATATAAGCATTTAATAAAGCAAATTAAATTAAATATTACTTGGCAATATTATATTATTACAAATGAATGGCTTAGTAGAACAAATAAATCAAATCATATATAGAATTTTGTCAAAATATGTTCAACTTTATCAACAAAACTGGAATAAATATTTATTATATATACTTTTTGCTTACAGAACAATATATCAAAATACAACTCATTATAAATCATTTTATTTAATATATAAAAAATTTGCATTAATATTTTTTGACTTGAAAATGCAAATTGAGAATAATCAATTAAATAAAAAAATAGTAGTTATAAAACAAGTATATGAAATAATTAATCAATTGAACTTTGATCAAGAAAAAGCAATTCAAAATATTGAAAAATAACAATAAAAACAAAAAAATATTATGATCAAAATAAAACTGCTCAACAATTTCAAATTGAACAAAAAGTCTTACTTTACTGAATGGAAATTCAATATTAATATTATGATAAATTTGATGAAAAATGAAAAGATTCTTACTATATTCATAATATTTATGATAAAAATATTTATAAATTAAGAATCTTGAATAGAAAAGTTCTCAAAAATTCATATAGTAAAGATTATTTAAAAATTTATAAAGAATAAATATATTTATAACCTATAATTATTATAAACGATAGAAAATAATAAAATGATAGAAATATTATCTATGAAATTATGAAAAATTATACATAGTTTTGCAGAGCAAAATCTTTAATTGAAGAATACTGTTATTATCTACTATTTTTCTTGATCATCTGACATGAGATATTATCAAATTCTGAATGATATTCAATCAATTTCTATATATAAATATTTATTTATCCATTTATCTATTTATTTTTAATTATCTTTTATTTATATCTAGTGATATTATAAATTACTAATCATTTTATTTATTTATTATGCAATTTTTATTAATTATTAATTATTATATTTTATTAGTTCTTGATTTCTAATTATTAATTTATTTAATTTTAATTATTAATTTATCTTTGATTATTAATTTATCTAATTTATTTAATGTAATACTAATATTTTACTAATTTCATTTGTAATATTTAAATTAATTTATATTATATTTATTATTTCTTAATATTATACATATTATAACTTTATTATTTTATTGATTTTTTACATTATTACAAATCTTATAAAACTATATTACTTTAATATATATTTAAATAAATATAATCTAACATAGAAAATCAGACAATATAATTTATTTTTGATCTTGGTAATAATAAAGAATAGATTAAATTGCTAATTATTCTAATTATTTTGTTTTTATTGATTTTTCTTGTCTTTCTTATTACAATAATTCATTATATGTTGAATTATTATTAATACCTGTTAAAAAACTTCACTTGTGAAAATTATAAATATAATTTTTGTCACTTAACATTGGAACTCATATTTTAGAAAAATTTTATATTTTTGCATAAATACAGTTACCATTACCTATCTTGTGAATATCTTTATTAGCAAAGATCATAGACTAATAACAATATATTAATCATACAATTTTCTTGATATATTTATCATTTTCTATATTTATTTAATTTCTATTGTGTATATATTTTTTTATTTTTGCTATTGGTAGTTTAGCATAAAACAAAATTATTAATATAATTGCTTTTTCATGTAATTAGAGAAAGAACTAATAATTTCATAATAATAATATGTCATATACTATATTACACTATGTATTATTGTATCATTATAATATAAAAATATATACAAATATAAATATTAATAATTAAGTTTTTTCAGTTTGATTTTAAGTTTATTTAGTTTAGTTATATTAATTGATTTAATTTTAAAAGTTAAAAATAATTTTTAGTTAAGTTTTCTTTTAATTTAGTCTTGTCCTAAATTTAGTTTTATTATTTTTATTTCATTACAAATATTATTCAAAATAAATTGCTATGAATACAATTATTATTGTCATTTTGAAATATTTTTATACATAAAAATTCAAAACTGTAACAAAATTCATTTTTTTGTATTATTTAAATTTTGTTTGATTTTTTGATACTTGTCATTTTTGATATAATTAATTTTTGTAATACAATTTAAATCTGTTATGTAGATTTTATATGTAATAATTAGTCTGATCAATCATAATTCTTTTTTATTAATAGTAAAGTATATTGCTTTAAACTTTGGCTGTAGTAACTAGAGATGGCGCAGCAAGTATGTGACACTTATTTGTCACCCGTTGCAACACGTTGCAACTCCAAAATTTTATAAGTCGCAACTAGTTGCAACTAGGTGATGCTTTATTTGTCACCACGTTGCAACAGTTGTCGCGCCATCTTTAGTAGTAACCAATCAGAAGTGTCTGCGCTTATCACATGACTAGATTTTAAACTAAAAATGCATGCTGATTATAGATGTCATGCACTGTAGATTAATAAAAAAAATTGGATCAATCTATAGCGATAGTTGTTACATGTGGGTTTACCGTTACGTTAATTTTTCTTAATCAAAATGGAAACACCTACATCACTAACCTTGGTTGATAACGAGTGTGGCGATAAAGAGAGCAAAATAAAAAAGGAACGCAAATCTAAAACAAAGATTAAAAATGATAAACCAAGAAAATCGTCGTCAAACATCATTTCTAAAAAGAAAGAAAAGAAAACAACACTCGTAATGAAAGAATTGAAAAAAGTTCAAGTTCGAAAAAACAAAGACTCTTTGACGACGAAAAAGGAACCAACATTTCTAGAATTATCCTCCACAGAAGAAAAAATAGGTATCTTTTCTTTATTATTGATTACGTTGCGTTTGAGTGGACTTGACGCGATTTAATTTTATCCTTGTTTAGCGTCCATGTTTAATAACATAAAACCCAAAAAAGATTCTCCGTCTCCTCCTGTATCAGCTAAAAAGAAAACCTCAAAACTACAACCACCTTCTCAATGTAATTACTTATGCTAAATTCAAATTCCAGCTCGGTATTCATTTTTGTTTACTTCTTTATAAATACAGTAATATCCCAGCTAAGAGATTTTCTACCAAGAATTGCGTCTGAAAATGAGAAACTTACCTACGCAGATCCAGACAGCATCAATGTTGAACACATTGAAGAAAATGATGAACAAATAATAGAATGGGTACGTGTATTTTTACGTGACATCTTCTCTTGGTCATAAATTTGAATATATATATCCATTATCTTTTCCTGGTGGTCTGGTGACAGGATCTAGGACTTGGTGTTTTCGAAGTGATTAAAGAATCTAGTGAAGATGATATAATAATGGATATAAACGCAAAACAGTCAGGTCAATCGAAGCCTTCAATTACCGTCCTTACATGATAGCATGATCGAAAAGGAAACGTCAATCAATAATTGAAAATAGTATTTTACCCGTTAGCATATATCCTAAGGAAGACGCAAACGTTTTTTGATGAAGGGGATGCGAAACGAGGTATTCTGTATAACGCTATATACGCTGGAGGTAAACCAATATAAACATATAGCCTGTTTAAAAAGTTAACATTATCAGTTGTGTCATTACGAATGCCAGACAATAAACGCTCAATTAACTTAATTCCAACCATTGGAGCTTGTGAAGCGACAGGAATCATAATTAGGGAGAGTCCTCGCATAATATTTTTCATTACTTTTTGCCTAGTAGTAGGTTTTTTCGTTATACTTCTAGCATTCATCTAATAAGAAATAAGAATGAATCGAGTAAAAATATATAAAATCAAAGGGTAAGCATAATAAGCAAAATAAATACTTCGATATTAAATAGATTGGCAAGACCTATCGCGATAGGAAATACCCATGTTGTGTCGGTTTTAGATAAATCGCTAAACCACAATGCGCCACCATCTCTTAATCCAATCACATTCGCATCAACCATTCCACGAATGGTTAATGACATTGAAATAAACAATGGCATTTGCACCCATGGCAATATGTAACTTTTCAGCGGATCGCAATCATTCATTCGATATATTTTTTTTAACTGCTTTCTCCACTACATGATTAACCGTTCGATTATTAGATGTTTACATGAAATTTCAGTTTTTGGATGCTTACTTGCCTCGCTTTGTAACAAAGTTTCGTATTTCTCGTAAGGTAATTTTTGAGTACGGGATTCGTACAGAACCTTACGTTTTAGGATTTCTTGTTGTAATTTTAACACGGGTTGTATCGCTATAATACGAGCGATTCTTTGTTGCTGATATATTGCAATAGGAAGGGTAAATGCAGTTCGAAGACATATTGTAACCAAAATAATTGTTGCCCACCAAGGCAAATTCGTAGAATCACGGACAAATTCGAATATTGATTGGTTAGCAGATAATATGAAATTAGTATTTTCAGCAGGTGCAGCTGCATTTACATCAAAAGGTTGTGGTTCAGAGTATTGATAGAATGAGATAGCGCTATTCGTATTATTTACAGATTCCGGAAGATTCTCTTTGTTATTACTTGAGAAAAAAAGAGTTGAAGTAGATTTCTGTGTCGAAATAACTGAAAAGCTTCGCGAAAATTGCAAACTGCACGAATTTAATTTAGAACAAGAAAAAACTGTAAGGGGAATGTTCGAAGCGAGTTTTGAACTAGAAATAAAACTCCAACTAGGAGGGAAGAGAAAGCAACCCTTTTCCTTATGGATGGTAGTTTTCCAAAGGTGCATTGATAAAGTGTAAGCTGCAACTCTTGATCTACATACCATCAAAACTAGGTAATTGTGGGGAACATGTATAAGCTATTTTTGTACTACAATATTGAATTATTAAATTCAAGTTTCAAACGTTATAAATTTCAGCCATCTCTACTTTTAAACTTTTCACAGAATATACTTTTAGTTCATTGAGCAAAAATTGGTTGGTTTTCTCTAAATTAATTTTGAGGTTGCTTGTAATAATACACATGAAAAAAATTCTTTGTAGCATTTCTTTTCCCACCATTACCTCTACGAAAGGTTTGCTAGAAAACTAACTCTGATACCAAAGACAACACTCAATATTATTCCAAGTGCACCTAACGGTGGAAGGAGGTGGGAATTCATCAAATTCAGGTGGCCAAAGCTACTGAAGTCGCTCAAAGGTAAATTCAAAATGAGTGTACAATCGGTGAGTTATCGGAATTTAAGTAAATCATGTGCTTGTTATTATCTTTCGAAGCATACAATGTTAAATTTACCACACCTTGAGTAAATAGGTTTCCGAGGTCACTATGACACCACCTCTTTCTCAGCCAACTCCAACTATCAGAATTTATACACCTCCATCTTCCCCTCCAAACACAGGCCCTGATGAGTGGGATAGCATAGATGACTTTTCTGTTGATTCACTACCAGTGGAAGAATCATCATCTTCATCCGCTCAGAGCCCTTTTACAACTTCGCCACCCGAGGAAATTATGAGAGATGAATTTTCTTCTATTAATGACATCAATGATACACCCCGAAATTCATCGGCCGATTTTATTCAAAAGATGGGGTCAGTTGAGATTTATTTATCATTGGATTTTCTGTGTGTGTAATTCTATCTATGACTGAAATAAGGATATTGCCTCTCAATGTTGGTCAAAAACTCTCAGGCATCATCACTTATTTCAGCTCCAAAGTGGATTGAATTTAACAAACCAAAGATGAAATACATTTTCTTCTCTTTGTTATGATATAAAAATCTTTATTTCTATTTCTTGTCGCTTTGTGGTATAATTTTCTAAAGGCATTGGCTGTATAATACTCGAGTTGTACAATACATGAAATCTGATGAAGGGGCTCGAGTTAAATCAACTTATTCATTGAACACAATATGGATGCTGGGAATCGCATATATATTTCCAGGTAAATATATATGTTTGTGTACATTATGTCGATTCCATTTATTCACTATTAAAAACATCTTAATGTAGAGGAAGGTGGAGCTGTTAGTTTACCAAAAGTTGATAGAGGAGAGCAAACCCGGGGTGGTCGTGCTTCCTCTTTATTTAATTTTACTATGTTTAGTTCATCCGAAGACGATGAAGAATATATTGAAACGCCAGAAAATCCCGAGCAGATTCGCAATGAGGAAGTTTCACCACATAAATTGAATAAATCTCGCTCATTTACTCAGCTTTTATCAGAGATTAATTCGCCACAAATCCATTTAACTCCCAGTAAGGGAAAAGGAAATGTAATTAGTGGTCTACGACGATTACGCTCATTATCGTTTTCTCGCAAACCGACCTCTTCCTCTTCCTCTTCTTCACCTGATAAGAATTCGATGATAGAGTCATCGTCTCAAACAGATTCTCAACCCAATCGAAAAACTCGACCGCGCCTGCCTTCTTTTCCTTTTAATAAAAAATCCGATCCCACAGATTCTTCTCATTCAAATAAAATCATAGTCCATTCTGAACCAAACGTTACAATGCCATCATCTCCACAATCACCTCGTAAGACATCGATGGGACAAAATTCACGACGCCCATTTTCAATGGTTTCCACATCATCCCAAAATAGTATAGAATTTTCTAATTCTGTGCAAAGCAACTTTTTACAAAACCCAAAAAAAACACGTAGAAAGACTTTTGGATTTTTCACAAATCGAGAAAAAAATTTCAATAAATCGGCACCTTCTTTATATCCGCATTTAGAGACGGACGCAGATCATGATCCAAAATATTTAGGTGCTCTAACAAAAGCCACTCGTTCAAGTTATGTTGAAGATGAATCACGGAAAAGTCGATATACCGACCCGATTTTACCTGATGATGAAATTAGTTTTTCAGAAACTGAAAGTGATAATAGTGATAGCAGGAACTCTATCACCAAAAACAATACAACAACAACGGAACATGAAACACCTGAGCAAAAAGAAATTATCAATAATCATCATAGTAATGATAGTTCATCTTCACATTATGATTTGAATAAGGACATTGAAATAATTAGTGATTTTTCACGTAGCACTAGTCGAATAAGTGCTGATATGTCTCTGCATCCAGATTGTGCTAGCAAAAGACTTTCAGACGTTGGCTCTTTTGGATCTAGGCGGTCTTCTAAATCATTACCTGCAATACCAACAAGTCTTTATAGACCCGATACATTTGGTCCTCTTTTACCTAATCAAAATAAACTCCTGGATTTTTTATTAGATTTTCAGTCGAGGATTTTTTGTTGTTATCGAAAAGATTTTCCTCCTATTGAACCTGCATTTCACACCCAAGATACTGGATGGGGCTGCATGCATCGTACTGGCCAGAGTCTATTGGCTCAAGCATTCCTTTGGGTTTTGTTGGGCAGAGGTAAATTAATAATTCTTCAATGTATGGTTATTTATTGAACCTATTTATATTAATTTAATTTTTCAATAGATTGGCGAGTACATAACTCACAGGCAGACTTAGAAATATCTACATATCGAAAGGTAATGAGAATTTCATGGATTAATAGTAGATTGACTGTGAATTTCTCACTAATTATTTTCAATTGAAAGATTCTACGATGGTTTATGGATGGTACTGAATCTGAACAGTATTATTCCATTCATAATATTGCACGTATGGGTGTGGCACTAGATAAGAAAATTGGTGACTGGTTTGGTCCTACTACGTTAGCGCATGCTCTAAAGTAAGCAAGTTTCTAAATCGTCTTGTCTCAATTTTTGGCTATTGCTATATTTTAAAGAATTTCTTTTTATGACTAGGCGATTATCTGTATCACACAAAGATTGTCCGCTCGTAATTCATGTGCCTCCCGACAATATAATATATCGAAATGATGTCGTCTCTTTAGCTACGGGGGAATTGGAAGCTATTGATCAAAGTTTCATCAATATAAGGCCAAATTGGAAACCTATCGTTATTTTACTTCCTATAAGGTATTTAATTGTGCCATGCTTTGATTTTTTCATATAAAATAATGAATCTTAGTCTAATTCTTTATTATTTGTATGATTAGATTAGGCATCGAAAAGTTGAATCCCAGCTATTCTCAAAATTTAAAGGTATTTTTGCATTTATTTTGTTACCAGTAATCTTTTTTATTGTCACACTTAAATTCTATATTCTTGACCTTTGTCTGCAGGTATTGTTTAGGTTGCCACAATTTTTAGGTATCGCTGGCGGAAGACCATGTCGCTCATTATATTTTGTTGCTACTCAAGGTATTTATTGCATCCGATCACAAAATTAAAATTTGCCTTACACAAATCTAATTAGGTTTTATTAATTAGATAATGAATTATTCTATCTTGATCCTCATTTTGTACGGCCTGCTGTTAATCTTGATGAATGCATGGAATTTCCCATAGAGGTTTAATGCTTTAAATTTATAACATCCATACCGATTTTTATGCTAATTAAACGTACTTTCGCTTTATTAGGATTATCATTCGACTATTGTTCGAACAATGGATATAGCTGAAATGGACCCATCTATGCTCTTGGGATTTTTATATCAGAGCAGACAAGATTTCGATGATTTTTGTGATCGTGTGGGACGGGTAAGCGGAATTTCGGAGTTTCGGATTTTATTCACTTGAGGATATTATTTCTGACGATTTTTTCTATTTATGATATAATTAGGAGATGGACACGCATTTCCCTTTTTTCACGATACTAGATACATGCCCAATTCCAAGGCCTTTCTCGAGAACAAATCTCAGTGATGAATCTTCAGTCATTGAAGATGATATTGAGGATTTAAAACACCTTGTGACACAAGTGGAAGAGGATGAGAATAATGATCAAGGAGTTCTTAGTACCCAAGAGGATGATGAAATAAACGGCTCAAAGCACGAAGAAGTAATATCAGATGATGACGGGCCTGAACAAAAAATTACTTGGAGTCAGTCTGTTCTTAGCGACGATAATTATGAAATTTTGTAAATTATGTAATATTTTTTCAACAGAAGTAGAAATAGATTATAGTAGCGTGAGGTTTGCAATCACACGATATATTATAATTATTACTATTATCATTAATTTGTGTAATAAGCTCAATAATATTTTTTATTTTCCATTGTATTAAAATAAAAGTTAATCAATCCATAGTCATATCTTTGAAATCTAAAAAGTTGAATAGAATAAATATATTGCTTATTACTTGATAGCAGTTTTTTTTTGTTCGTGATCCAATACATGCTGGCATCTTTTTTTATTTCGTTTCACTTTATTTTTTGGACTTGATTTTTCGGACGTAGAATTCAAGTTCTTTGCCTTCGAGTATATAACCATCCGCTCTTCCTGACTGACCCGGACGAGATGCAATGATTGCTAAGGAAAATCTTTCATTAAAATTGCATGTCTTGCCAAAGAATTTGAATTATTTGGTTTCAAAAATCACATACCGTATAGACGACCCGTGGTAAATTGATCATCTAATAGAGGTTCAACCTTTGACCCTTCTTTTCGGCTCTCAATTTTTCTTAGAACATGTTTCGATCGTTTCTTATTCAACTCTTCAGATTCGACCTTTTTATTTGTTATGAAATTAATATCTGATATAATTTCTTTCATTTAATGATGATAAGTAATCCGCACATACCGCGCCTTCTTTCTTCTTCTTACGACCGATGGGTTGCGCATAATGAGCCTCGTACCACTGCCTAAATGGAGTAGCATCAATTTGAATAACGGCACCTTTTACCAACGTATTGGTTCGAACTAATTCGTTGTTTGAAGCGTTATATGCAACAGCGACAAGTCTGGTTTTTTTCGTGACTGACTCCGAGCCCCAAGAGAAATTTCCGTGATCTAGGCGAAGGGCTCGAAACTTTCGGTTCCCACCGCGAACTCGGATTTCATGAATTCTTTTTGGGCCCAGCTTAGTGTTGGCGGATTGACGACCTAATTCGAACTTTCTCTTTTTACGATATTGAGCTCTTTTAGCACCGGTATGAGAACGTTTGTGACGGGAGTCTCTGCTGATACCTAATAAATAACAAATATAACTTGATTTTGAAATATAACCACAAAACTAAGCAGCAACATGAAGACTATATGTTGCATGCAGGCCCTCTCGCGCAAATTTGCTTCTAGAAATTTTTAATTAAATAACGACACGCGAATAACTTTATCAAGGCAATTATATCATATAATCTTCGTCTGAACTATGAAAACTTGATGGATGGATAAAATATACTAACCCATATTAAAATTATAGAAGCGAAAGTATAAAGGACAACGAAATGTAACAATAGATCTTCAGTCGGGAATTTTTTTGCTACAGAAATGTAGACGTCATTCGATTTAACGAATCAGAAACTACTTTGAATACTTTTTTCATAAATACTCATTGTTGTTATGTTGATCTAACATCTATCCACGAAAACTGTCCTTTCGAAATGGCGCCTCTTTATCAGCGTCCAGAAAACGCTCTTAAACGAGCCGAAGGTAAATAGGTCTAGCAATTTTTTACTTATTTTTTTTTCCTTGATCAGGCTTTTTGTTGGGTATAAATTTAATACGAAATTTGTCTTTAAAGATTGGAAATGACCATGCACGCAAATGTAGGATAGCAAATATTATAGACTAGCAAATGTTATAGAAATGTTATGTGATGGCAAAAAGTCTTAAATTTATTTAAAGCTGAAAAAAAATCATTTAATTTAAACATGGATTTTTAAAATAGAGCTTATTTAGCCTTGATTTTAACACATTTAATAAAAAAATTATCCTTTTTCAAGACATCAAATTTATAAAGATCTTTCTTTTCTTTATCAGAGTTGATCGCGGTTGGTCAAAATGCCGCTGCATTGCAATCGCTTCACGAGATAGTCATTTCCAAGCGTTCACGCACGCAACCACTTGCAGCATTGGAGCCAATTATGCTTCGATTTGTTGAGTTATGCGTGAATTTGAGAAAAGGAAAAATCGTGAAAGAAGGGCTGCATCAATATAAAAATATCTCTCAAAATACCAGTGTCACAACAATTGAGGTGAACTTTGAGATCGGTCTTTGTTTTTTGCTATTACGCGGTGCATTTCTCTAAACTTTATTTTCCTATAGTTGGTCATAAGAAAATTTATCGAACTCTCTGAAGGAAAAGTCACAGAAGCCCAAGCAAAAGCAGATCAAATCACTTTAGATGCTCTTGCTATTGATGATCTTGAAGCTTCGGAGACTCCAGAATCTATAATGCTAAGTACTGTAAGCGGTGAACAGAGTAAAGACCGAACAGACAGAGCAGTTGTTACGCCATGGTTAAAATTTTTGTGGGAAGCTTATAGGACCGTGTTGGATATCTTGAGGAATAATGCGAGACTAGAGATATTTTATCAAGTAAAAAAAAAATATGAATATTATTTACGTTGACACACAAAACTCAAATTCATCATTTCTTATATTAATTTTTTTTAATTCTAGTCCACAGCAAATCAAGCGTTTCAATTTTGCCTCAAATACACAAGAAAGACCGAATTTAGACGTCTTTGTGATCTCCTACGTAATCATCTTCAAAATATAGCAAAATATGCACATCAACCACATTCAATTAATCTAAACGAGCCTGAAACACTTCAACGCCATCTCGACACTCGATTTGCGCAATTAAACGCCGCTGTCGAGTTAGAATTATGGCAAGAGGCTTTTCGTTCGATCGAAGATATTCATAATCTGTTATCGATGTCAAAAAGACCGCCTAAACCCTACATGATGGCTAATTACTATGATAAATTGACAAAGATATTTTTGGTCAGCGAGAATTACTTGTTCCATGCCGCCGCTTGGAATAGATATTATACTTTAGTAAAAGCTCAAAATAAAGCTTTGAGTGATGAAGATAATACACGTTACGCTTCGTTTGTGTTACTATCGGCGTTATCTATTCCAGTAATAACAAGTAACAAAACTCGTGCTATGATTGAAATTGATGATAATAAAAGTAAACAACATCGGCTTGCCGCTTTACTTGGAATGAATCGATCTCCTACACGTACAGGTTTATTGAAAGAAGCAGTGTGTATATAATTTTTGATTTTAAACTGTTTGATAATTGACCATCTATCTGATCGAATTCTAAACATTTGAAATTTTGACAATTGCAAAATAAAGCTCAACAAAAATATTCTTCGGCGAGTTCGTCCAGAATTACGAGATCTCTATAATATCTTGGAGGTCCAGTTCCATCCATTGTCTATTTGCAAAAAGATTGAACCGATCATGACGCAACTCGCCCAAGATACTGAAATGGCTAAATATGTTAAGCCATTGCATCAAGTAATCTTAACGCGTCTATTTCAACAGCTTTCGCAAGTTTACGATAGCGTTAAGCTTGAATTTGTCATCAAATTAGCTTCTTTCGCACCACCATACAATTATGATGCCGCGACCATTGAAAAGTTTATCATGAATGGGTGCAAGAAAGGCGAGCTCGCCATCCGAATTGATCATGTAACCAACAGTCTGACTTTTGAGACGGATTTGTTTTCGGCTTCCAAAGATGCTGATGCTGATGGCGCTAAATTGCAAGCATCACCAGCAGATCGTATGCGAGATCAATTATCGAGACTTGCCAAATGTTTTTATACTACAGTTCATTTAATTGATCCTAGCATTATCGAAGCGAAGAAAGAAACTAGAAGACAAGCACTTGAACGCGCCTTTGTTGGAATTGAAGAGGAGCATAACAAAGCCTTGGCACGTAAGGCAATTATTGAGCGACGGAAGGAATTGGCTGAAACATTACTGATGCGTAAAGAAAAAGAGGAACAACGGGAGCGCGCATTACGTCAAAAACAAAGAGCAGAAGAAGAAGCACAAAGACGTATCGAGGAAGCAAAGAAACGTGAATTAGAGAGACGCAAACGTGAACATGAAGCTATTCAAAGGGAAGAGGCTAAGAAATTAGCCGAGTCTTTGAAATCGAAAAATCTAAAGGTTCAACCAGAAGTAAGCATTAATTTTTAAAGGAATTAAGTCGTGCTTTCATTTGTTATCTAATTTAAAATCATCATGATAAATATAATGTTTTTTAGGATTTGGAAAATTTAGATACCGATAGATTGGTTCAACTCCAAGTTGAGCAGTTAGAAAAAGAGAAAAAGGAACTCAATGAACGATTAAGAGCTACCGCGAAAAGAATGGATCATCTTGAACGCGCTTATCGTAAAGAAGAAATCCCCTTGCTTGAAAAAGATTATGAGCGGCAAAGAAAAGCCGATCGAGCATATCATGAGGCTGCACGTAAGGCTCAACTTGAAGCAACCGCTACGAAACATGATGCTGATCTGAAATTAAAAGCTAGACTTGCGAGAATACTGCCCGACTATCATAAATATCGAAAAGAAATCGAAAACAAGAGATTTGAACAATTCGAAGAATTAAGGACAACAGCTCAAACCAAGATAGAAGAAGAAAAAGAAAGACGAAAACAAATATTCAGGGTAAAGAAAGAGGAAGAACGTAAAAGACAAGAAGCAGAGGAAGAAGCAAGAAGGAAAGAGGAAGAAGAAGAAAGACGACGTCAAGAAGGTTTGTCTCGTGTGTGTGTGTTTTTTTTTTGGAATAATTGATATAATTTAAGATATAAATTTTATTAATAGAGCAGGAACGCTTGGAGGCTGAGCAACGAGTCCAAGAAGCAGCAGAAAAAGCCGAATATGAAGAAAAGAAACGGTACAAGTTATTTTCTGATATGCTAGAGCTATGTTTAAATGCTTTTCTGACATTTAAAAATTTTAGAAAACTCGACGAAATTGCTGCCAAACAAAAAGCAAGAGAGCTCCAAGCTGAAGAAAAACGATTGCAACGTGAGCGTGAGCGTGAAAAAGAAGAACGTGTAGCAAAAGAACGTGCAACAAAAGAGCGTGAAGAACGCGAATTAAAGGAAAAGAATGAACGCGACGATTGGCGTCGACGAGAGGAAAAACCACCTGCAACTCAGACAGCTACGGCTGTTCGTTATGTTCCTCCCGCTTCTCGAACGTCAACTGAAGCAGCGGATCCTTGGCGAAGACCACCAGCTCCTAAAACAGGTGAAACTTGGCGCAAGAGTGAATTACCGCCTCGTACACCAGATCGTCCTATTCGCACTACAGATGAAAAAGGGGTTCCTGAGAGGCGTAAGACCGATGAAAGACCTTGGCGTAAATCTTCTGTGCGATCAACGGAAGAAAGCGAGTCACTAGCAAAGAATGCAAGTGGAACGCGGCGAGTAGCCCGAACTTCTAATGCTGCTGATGAAAGCGACACTTGGCGACGTACTCCTTCGCAACGCGACGAATCAAAATCGGAGTGGCGTCAAGGCGGTGATCGTCAAGATAGAATACGAGATAATTCAAGAGATGAAGACGAAACGGAAACCTCTTCAAGAGGACCACCACGCATCCTAAAAACTAATACTGAATCCGGCTGGAGATCTCGTAGCATGGCTTCAAAGCAGCAAGAATTAGAAAAATCTCCTTCGGAAGGGAGATCAGGAGCCCTAAGCAGATGGCGAACTTCTGAGCCTGATGAAATGCAGGATGACGAAAAAGGTTCTGGAGACGAAGACAAATCTGCACCATCTCCTGCTTCAAAATCACAATTACAAACCCCCGCATCAACTGCTGAAGATGATGATGGATTTATACCTGTAGTGAAAGGAAAAAGAAAAGGTAGAACATCATCTACCCCTTTATATGATAATGAATAATAACATAGTATAGATTATATATAGTATGAATGAATTATATATATAACATAGTATCGTGTATTTTTTATAATTAATACCTTTATATATTGGAAAAAGGCAAAAAAATTTATAATCTATTTGAGGAATCTTAATTATATAAATTATGCACTATAATCTTTTAATAATCGATAGAAATTACAGTTTGTCTTTATAAATATTCATTCTCTAATGACTAGTCTAACATACGGAACCTAAAAAATTCACGATAATTAACTCAAAAAATATTAACTTGAGAAACCAAATTAACTGTTAAATTCACCAACCTCTACATCTTCGTTTTCGCGATCATTTACACACATCTCTAATGTGAGAGCTTTTACATGAGGAGGAATTGGTTTTTTGGATATTAATTCTACTAATTTCGACATTCTAAATATAAAAAAGGAAAATTTTAGAAAATTGATAAAAATAAACTTGAAGTAATCTATATGATACTCACTTCATATTTTTGCGTTCCTCTTTTCTCTTGCCTTGTAAAAAGAAAGAGTAAAGCATGCTGACACCACATGATAACATTGTAATTTCTAGTTGGTGTTTAGATGCGAAATAGTCTATGAATTCTTGTAATGTGAGATCGCCTTGGATATCAAATCGGTCCCACAGACTCCATTCAGTCTCATGATACTAGTAAGTGATATAACAAGATTAAACTTGAGTGATCATGAGGTATCAACAAGTAATTATTTTTATTTACCTTGTATTTCGGCATAGCAATTGGCTCAGAAAAGCCAAAGAATGGCAATGCAAGATTAACAAATCCATTTTTATAGTCTTCCAATTTATTTTTCCCGTCGATAATCTTGTATAATTCCAAGCAGACCAAACCGGTAACCAACGCTGTCGTGGTGGCAATAGCTGGTATAATTTTTCCGGCAATAAATTTCGTTTTAAGACGATCTGCTGGTTGAATTACATAATTATCTGCTCGTAGATTGGACGCCGCTGTAATAAAGTCGATGTGGAAGTTTGTGTCGTCATCTTTCTCAAACTCGACTGGATTCAGTCGGAAGCCAGCTAATGTTGAAGACGATGGCAGAGATGAAATTATTTCTTGCAATTCTTGCTCGTTGGCTGAAGCTTGTTGAATCGTTTCGTTTTCTTGAACTTGAATTTTCACGCCTTGTTTGGGTGTAAATTCAGGAACAATAACATTACTTACAACACGTTTGAAATATTCACGATTCGATTCACCTGGATTGACAAAAATTCAATTAGCAAGCTCATCATTTGAAGTGTATTTTTCAATGAATCTTTCTGAAATCTCAAGTTACCCTTAAGGCCATAATTAAATGCATGAAGATTAGCGGCAGCAACAATGAAATCTAAATGGGATTCCTTAAGATGCAACAAATCATTAGTATGCTTTCCTAATTATTGAATAATAACCGTATAATTATTCATACATTTTCAGGATCAAAAATGATTGGAGTTGGGGCACGTTTTGGTCCCGACCAGAATAATGTTCCAGAAGATGTAATCTAACAAGATATGATAATAGGCAATCAGTTGTGAATTATTATGAAAACATATCAAAACAAAAAAAAATAATGATAGACATACAGAATCTTTGGGAAAATTGAATAAAAGCTGCTGAATATTATTATTATAGAGTTCTTCAAAGCGGAGTCTCGCCCACGCTATGCACTCATCGAAACTTAATGGTTTTGCAGTAACCAAGAAATTTCGAATACCCTCCAATATATCCTTCTGATTAGCTCCTTGTTTCATAGTTAATTCTACGAAATTGGGTTGACTTAGATATTGATTCACATTTTCTGCAGGCTGTTTGAAAAGCCCTTCAAATAATTCACGCGCCCATTGAATAGTGTGCTCAATGGCATTAGGGAAGTTCTTTAGTGTACAAAGTGGAATGGATTTTTCCGGTGGATCCTGAGATGATGAATATGATTCCGTTAAATAGGGGATGACAACTTGTGTGTTACCCTTGGTACCTAATGTTCCGGATTCTAATAATGACTTTCTGAAATAAACACAACGTCGATCCATATATTTACCTAAAAAAGAATTTAGTCCATAAAGCATTAATGTAATTAATAGAGATTATATTTCCATAATATGCATTGTTGCTTACGAGCATCAACATTGTCTAATGCATTGGTGACACCATCGAGCGATTCAAAGAACTCGTCATTATAGACGTCTATAAAATAATTATATGGAATATAGTAAATAGTTGCAAGTATAAAATAATGTAGTTTTACTTGAATAGAGAAATATTTACTTTCTGTTTCTACACCAACGCGATCCTCATGAGCAATAATTGTTCCCTTAGCATCTGGATTCATTTTCCCAATCGCTGCTGCTGCTGTCGCCGATTTTAATTTCTATATAAACAATTCATTGATCGACAATTAGGAGATCACCGAAATTATTAGACATTTCAAAGTTTGAAGAATTAACATACCCCGACATCTTCAGGACGGAACAAAAACTGCCGATTAAGATTGCTCTTTTCGATCGTATCCATATCTGTAATATGAATGGAACCTCTTGCACCTGTCCCTAATCCCATCATAGCCCAATTTTTGAGCATTTCGCAGCCAATGGCTCCAGCACCAACCTATCACAAAAATGTATTAACAAGATAAATAAAATGTAAATCTGTGTGATAGCGATAGATTTTCAATGATTATGTACCAAGAATTCTCTGAAATTGGCGATTTTTTCCTGGAATTCTTTGCCAAATACAGCTATTTGTCCATCATAACGCGACCCAATCTATTAAATTTAAAAAGATTAGAATAATGATTTTTTATAATAGAAATTATCAAAAAATTTGTATACCGGACGACAAGATTCTTCGGTAAGAGTTACACTAGTTGGCAAAGATTCCAGAGAATCGAAATAAAAGAATTGATAAATAGGATGAAACTTTCCACTACAAGCTTTCAAAACTTCTTGAGCTACCAAGCCACCAAATACAGCAACCATAGGAGATAAATCGCCTGCAGCACCATATGCTAGTTGTTTAATTAACTTCTCATCGAACTCGGCCTATAAAAATAAAAATATACACATGAATAAAAGATAAGAATAATTATCAAGTTTTTAGAAAAAAAATTAATATAATCACTAACTTTATCTTCAAGTTGATCATTGATAGAATTGGCTAATTTAAATAATTCGTCGGCATCAGATTCATTACGTGGGCGTGGAAGCGACCCGTGTTTTTCTGTGAATTTATGAAGTGCCTGAAAACCTATGTGCAACTGAGACAATCTGTCAAATTTTGCCCAATCTGAAACGAGATATTCGGGGGTTTTTAATGCTGCTCTAAGCGATTTCTATATATGAATGATATTTTCAACCATTAATAATTCAGATATTAATATAATATTCAAAATTTATATATAAACAATTTATAAGAAAACTTACAAATGATAGCTTCTTTGGTTGCTTGACTTGAGTAAATGTTCCCCCACTAATATAATCGCCAAAGTTCGAAGTATCCCCAATAGTAAATGTATAAGGACCTTAAAATAAATGAAATTGTGAGATAGTTGATTCAATAAACACTGTTCAAATTCAATGCATACCCAGTACTCTGATTTGTCTTGGTTCACAATTGTTTAATTCAGCCATGCCATTAATTTCCGAGAAAGTGACGTATTCGCCATCTTCTAGACCATGTCTCGTTTCATCAAGACATGTAACAATTCCATCTGTCTCCTTGCTGACTGCTGCAATCATCCCCGATAATGGATTTTCGCCGGTTGTGTCAGACACGACAAAATTTTCACCAAAATCATTGAAAATAGTTCTAGTAAAAAGAATCAAATTAAAATCTGGTCTACTATCAAACATAAATAGAAAATAATTGAAAAATACCCAAAAAGACCGCGAACAGTTGTTGAGATAAAACTAATTCCGTTATTATGTGTAAAATCATTAATCTCTAATTGACGTTTTAATGTAGTTTCCGTCAATACAACCACCTAAATGTAAGAGGAAATTTAGTCATCATGATATTTTACGATGAGATTCATAACACAGGATCCACTTTTACACACCTGATAATCTTTTAACTTTTCATTTGTTAAATCTCCTTCCAGTACATGAACGGGAACATATTGATTCAATTCTGCCAAACGAGGAGCTGTTGAAGCTGCTCGTGATTTATCAATATCCTCTTCTCTTAGATAGAACTATTAATCATAAGATTTTCTTTATTAGATCAATTCGCAAGAAATCCGAAATTTACATGTTAATAAGTAATACAGTAAAAATATTAACCTGAGTTGATAGATCGCAGATTTTTACTGGTTCCGGATCATAGAGTGTAACACTCTTCACTCCAGCAAGAATTATATTCTTGGCTAGTAATGCAATAAAAAGCATTAATATTTTTTCTAATTAAAGGCAAATTTGGCCTGTTCGAAATTTACCTATCTCAACACCAAGTCCTTTTAAACCAACGATAAGAACGTTGGAGGTGCCCATTTTTTTCATAGCATCGTGGCCAAGCACATAACTAAACAAGAGAAGTAGAATTTCAGCATTCATGGAAAAATTCGCTCTGTGTCTTCTTTAATTTAAACAAAAAGTTACAGTTGGCGAGAATAAAGTCCTTCGTCAATGGTAGGTTCAACGCTGTCAATCTCCATGATTGGTTAATAGTGAGTCGGTCAGAGAAAATACGATATTTCGTTCTATTTATATTGCTGAATTTTATTAAATCTGCGGCCCAGAAAAATAAATTACACGATGATGATTTTGCGCAGTACGTGGATATTTTCCGGATCTCTCACTCTGACTCTGCGAAACTCACGTGAGATATAATTTAATATTTCCGGGTCACTGATGTGGATGTATAAAGACAATATAAATGACCATTTGAAAGTAAATTTTTAGCGCATCTTTAGTGGAAGCTTGTAAGCTTCATTATAATTTAAATTCGAAAAGGAAAAACATGCAAATTGAACATGGGAATCATCCCACTATTTACTCGAGTATTGGGTTAATTGAAAATATGGAAGAAGAACAACAACAGCAGCAGCAACAGGAACCCCAACAGACGATAATTCGCGGCAGAATGAGGTTTACTCCTCAACATAACCAATACTTGGAAACGATGTATCAACTTTCGCGTTATCCGGACAAAGCTCAAAAAACGATGATGGCAACAGCCTTGGGCATAAAAGAAGACCAAGTGAGAGTAAAAGTAACCACTTTTCCTTAGTTTAGAAGAGTCTTGCTGAATTATTGGTTTTTTCTCATAAGGTCAATAATTGGTTTACGAGGAGGCGAAGGAAAGATAATGACCCTACTACTACTACGACTCATGCGATTGATGGTGGTCAAGTTAGCGTGGCACCTCGTGTTACACCGAGAATAGTACCTAAACCAGCTACAACATATTCGAATAATGTTGAAGAGTATGGTAAGTGATCCCTTTTTGCCAACTCCTTTGAATAATTATAATTGGTTCTGATTGAATGATTTTCATAGCATATTTAGTCCCTATGCAAAATATGCACGATTTTCAAAATATGCACAATATTGGAATGCATCAGTCATCATATTCGTACCCTATGGATGATCAACAGGTGTATCTTATCGAGGAAGAAGATGATAATGAGAATGAAGAAAAAGAAATATCAGGTGGGTTCATTGTAAAATTATGTATTTGGAAACTTAATTATTTAATAAAGACAAAATGAATTTCGTATAGTAGATGAAGAAATGCAGGATCTCGCCAATCAAATTCAAGAACCTACACCGGAAGATGTATAGTCATTTAAGCTAATATCTGAGTCTGTTTCGTATTGTGATTCAAGTTCATTGACACTCAATTAAAAATTTAGTTTTTACTTCCTTATTTGAATTCATCATCAATGGGATTGCGGTCAGCAAAACAAGTCAGAGAATTTGTGAAAGTTATGAAAGATGAAAAAGTTATTTCCCGTCGAGCTCTCATTCTTGCCGCTATCGGAAGGACTCAAGATGTGATCATCTTAAAAAGGTATGTTGTGGTGTGTGTGTCTATGGCAAAAACATTAATAATTTTCTTGCTAGATTATTTGATCCTTTTATTGTTATTTATAGCTTTATCGAATCAAAAGGGGGTCATGTTTTGCGAGTTTGGTTGATGGAAGCTTTAAAGGAAAATAATAGTCCTTTGTTGGTGAAAATACTAGAAGTACGTATAAATAAACTTGTATATAATATTAAAAGCGTGATATCAAAATTTATGGTGCGATTAAAATATGTTCAGATGTTTTGTGTAAATAAAATTCCAGAAGATTTTTTTTATAAGTAAATTTCAATAGCTAATTCGAATGAAAAGTTATTTTGAATTTGGCGTTCAAAATTGTGGAAACATTATAATATGCCAAATGTAATAAAGAAATATATTAAAGTATTTATGTATAATCTTTTAATAAATGAATATAGGTATTAGATCGTTTGCCTTTAGATAAAGAGGGTTTGATTGCTTCGCAGTTAGGCAAGGCTGTCAATAAAGGGGCAAAGAATTCGAGTGAGCAATCTGGTAGGTAGGATAATAATTCTTGGATTATTAAATGCAAGAAAAACAAATTAACCTAAAAACTAATTTTATTATAGATGTCCGAAGAATGGCGGTAAGACTTATCGATAAATGGAAAAAGTTGCTAGAAACGTCGGGTAAGTATTCACACTTTACAAGTTGGATCTCGATCTTTTTAATTCAAATTTTTTTTTATTCTCTATTAGAGGAATCTGAAACAAAGCGAATAAAAACGTAAGTTAATCAATTTTATAGTTATCTTTGTTCTATGTTTATATCGGTTTAGTTTAATCCTTTTTTTTTATTAAAAAAGAAATGATACTACATTTTCTAAAATAAGTGCAGGCACAACTATTGCCACATCCTCTAAATTAAGCGCTGCTGTCGACGGTAAATTATATGCTTTTTACTGATTTAGTGAAATATGGTTCATTTAATTTACATTCTCTTATATTATAAATCTATAGCCCAAAAGAAATTTGCAGAAACATCTAAATTAGGGACAGCTGAGGTATTCGAAATATCATTGTACATGATAATTAAAGAAATAAAATTTAAAATCACCTATTCTCTAAATAGTCTTCGAGACGAACTACCAGTGTTGTTTCATCGTCTACTGGAAAGCCTCAAACGAAACTAAAATCTGCAGCCTCAACAGCTCTAAAACCTCCTGTTAGAGAAACAGGAAAAGTTACTGCAGCCTCAACTGCTAGTGTTTCAGTAGAATCTGCAAGCTCAAGCCAAAAACTGGCAAAATTATTGTCTACCAAAGAATTTGTTGAATTAAAGCAAGATAAAGATAACAATGCAATGTACGTAAAAAATCTAAGCTAATGGTATTATTAACTTGCTATAGATCCAAATGTGTTGAGTTTATTTTTTGTTCTCTAATAGTCCTCGAGAATCTGAACCAACGACATCGTCAACGACGTCTGTACGAGTAGAATCAACAAAAACTGCTTTCGAGATTGCTTTGGAAAGCCGTAATCAAGGAACCAATGTCCAATCTAGAACTTCAATTGTAGAGGATACTCAAATGCAGGTCGAGAGAAATAAAAAAAGGAAGCGAGTCTCTTTTGCCCCCGAAAATTTACTTCGCCAAATCAAAATCTTCGAATCAGAAGACACAGAAGATGAGGATGAGGTACGTTTTCATATGCTTTCAATATAATTATTATTTTAGTCTGATCGTTATGCTATATTCATTTTTAGCTCTCAATGGGAAGCAACATACCACATCAATTTGGCAATGCAAGAGACCTCGAAGTTAATGAAGGTCAAGCAGTATTCAAAAGGTCATTTATAACTCATACAATGGAGTGGTATACGCCTATTGGTATCAATACTGTTTACTTTTTTGTTTCTTCTTAATGTGCAAATTTTTTATTTTTTCTTAATTTGTAACATTATTTGTAACATTTACTAAATCGAATGGCTTCTATCACTTAATAGAAATAAACCTGGAAGCCATCAATATACCCACAGTAGTTAGTGCCCAGGCGAGAATGGAAAAAGACAGACAAAAATCAATACTGGAAACAATTTATTTGAAAAGGGAACATGTTCCAGATAGTCCGGAAGAACCCAATGACATAATAATGATTGATTTTAGTCAAAAATGCCTAGAAATCCCACTAGATGAACAAATCCAGGTAGGATAATCATATCGGATTCTATTAATATTAGTATAATGCTGAAATTTCGTTCTCTCCTTTTTTTTTGTCCTTTCAGATTTCTCCTATACAGTCTGATGCATCATTAATGCAAAATGGTGTTGTCACTAGTGCTACTGCAACAAATGTGAATTTAACAAATACAACCTCCCAAATAGCAAACCAAACCCCAGAAATTATAGAGATACTTAAAAAAAACATTCATTTGCAAACATTTTCAAATAATGAGTCTAATTTGGCCAACAATATTCCTCCTCATAATCATATACAAGTTCCACCTCATCCTCAACAAACAGTTCCATTGTTCCCTGTAGGAAATAATGTTAATATATTTGGGGGAATGGATATTCATTCTTCTTCCGTGATGGCGGGATCATCTGGAGGAGCCGCAATGGGAATGGCTCCCCCGCAACAACAGCCAATGCCAATCCCTAATAATGAGTGGAATTATCAAGAACAGAATCGAATAGGAGGAATGATGGGTTTTCCCCAACATCCTCCACAACAATCCCAACTTGCTCCACCTCCTCCACATCAGCAGCATATGCAATTCCAACAACAGCAACAACAGCAGCAACAGCAACAACAACCACCGCCCCCTTCACATATATCTCAACCTCAAATGCATCATTATCCGGATTATCATCGACAGGTTTGTAATTGATTAACGAATGCTCGAATTTATTAAATAGAATATAAATGTAATCATCAAATCTATTTTCAACCAATCAAAATTGTTAATCTTAGCCTCCGCCGCAGCAAATTCAAGGACAGCCGCCGCAGTATGGGGAAGGACGTGCATTGCCACCTCAATCGGAAATTCGTCCCCAATCAGATAATCGACAACAATGGTCGTCTCGTGATGATCGAAATACCCCAAGGGGACGTGGACGTGGCACTCCGTGTTGGTTTGGGCGAGATTGCAATAGACCGAATTGTAAATATGTGCATGATTAATGCAAATCAAACCTTAATAATGTGTATATTCTTACTTTCTTTAAAATTTGAACCATACAAATTAATGCAAATTAAATGCGAATTATTACATGGAAGAGTAACCATCTAAGAATGGTTAGTTTTGGAAATACATAATAATATGAAGCAACGTAACAAATTATATTTATTTTATGAATATATTTTAATTTTTCAAGTTAACAGAAATTTTCTCTTGATGACAGGTATCTGTAATAAGATATTATGCATGTATATATATATTTAGGATTATCTTTTGTTAATATTAACGGTTCAGTTCGATTTTACTTGAAGTTAGTCAAATTAAAATCGTGGCCGGATTTAAATCAAACAAAATAGACACAACGATGAACTTTATAATTAACCATATCATCGGTGTTTATTAATTTTATATATACAATTAGTATATGAAGACTTACTATATCAAAACTATAATGTAAGTGAATAGGAAATAAATAATTTTTCTTACACTTCACCTATTCCCATATGACAAAACCATTATTTTAGAGTAAAAAACTTAAGTATATGTTAAAAGTTATTACCATAAATCGATTTTTTTCTCGAACGCCTTTTTCCCACGCGTCTCAAAATATCCACCATTATAAACCCACTCATCATTCACTAATTTAAACCACTGTGGCTTCCATTCCTGCCCAATCTTTTCCAAATGTTTTCGGAAATCTCGTTGTTTTTGTTCAAGACGTGATTTTTCTTGTTCGGCCTCTGCAACTTTTCCCTCCTCAAACAATCTTTGATCTGGCCGAAATCGCGTATCAGTACTAGGCAAGAAATCAACGATATCCGGTGTCAGCTCGTTCAGTTCGATGGTAAACTGTGTAAAACCGTAATACTGTTCGTAATCGGGTATCGGTTGATGTGCTTTCCAGAGAACTTCTAGTTGATTCGGTCCAATCTCATAAAATATCGCTTCATTCCAGCGTCCACTAAGTGTTCCAACTTTTTTACCATTTGCTGATAGTAATTTCCCTGTTATGTCGTTTTGAGGGCCACTACTAAACATCCCACTTTGATTAAAGGTAATTTCACAAGCTTCACCAGTGGTTTGATTTTGAATTCGTAATACGCCGGTATGTTCTAGGTACTTAGCGCTAGATATCATGTTACGCATCCAAGTGGAAATTTTTGTAAATGTAAAATGATCATCATATTTAGGTATTGTCACATGTACAGTTCCAGACGGTATTAGTTCCTGTATATATGTATCATTATAAGTGAACATTTAAAATATCCCTATTTTCAAATTCTAGAGTTCACATACCATAGATTTACCTAAAACAGAAATTCAAAATCAGTACACTATACCAATTTAGAATACCAGAAAATTCGAAAAAAATTGCTTACCCCAAAATTTGCTTTTAACTTTTGAATCTTGCCAAAATTTCCAATCTGCGGATTCGGCGTGGCACTAAAAATTATTCAGTGATTTAGATTTTTGAATCCGAAATAAAATTTTTAAAAATAAATTCAGCTACTTACAGCCATAATCGGTGGATGGTGGCTGACTTTCTCAGAAATAAATTTAAAGCCTGAATAACGCATTAGTAAAATTAGTAATGTGAATTTATAATAAATAGACGAAATGTTAAAAAGAGAACCTTTATCAGGCCGAACGCATTCGTATGTTTCACCATGAAGTGGATTAAAAGGTTTTCGACCAACCCGATGTTGAGTTGATGCATATCCAGAAACAGCAAAGGCCGACACATACATTAATCGAGTCAATGATAAACCATTTTCTGCGGCTTTATCTAACAATTCACTGTATTCTAATTCTTCCGCCATGCGTTGAAGAACATTAATTGGCTCATTAAGAGAAATAGGCATTGTGATGGTTGCTAGATCTTTTCCGACATTTTTACGAAGAAGAGATAAAAGACTAACATCATCACCACATATAGGAGAAGGCAAGTGTTTTCTTCTACGAAAACTAATTGTTCTAGTAAGTGCATGGTCCTCGTCGGTAGTAATTACAACTTCCTCATCGTGATCATTAGTTGATATGACATCATCTTCGCTTTCCTCATCTGTTACTTCAAAAGTATCAACATCACTACATCCATTGAATGAGTCAGCGCTTAATACAATATCTTCAGCATCAAAAAATACATCTTGAGCAGTCAATGAAGATAATGATTGTGCACGTTCACGTTCATTAATTTGTTCCTTGACTTCAGCATGATTCGAGTTCTCAATAATTCCATTATCCTGAATAAACACAGATTTTCTCTTTTCATCCGAAATTATATTGGAATCAGATGATGACTCTTTACGACGAGTTTCCTGCTCTGAGAGCGTAACACGATATGCAATATCCAACTTTTTCCATTTCTCCGCCTCAGCTTTAAATAATTCCAACACTTGCTCTTTTTCAGTTTTCAAATCAGAAAAGAACGCATATAGTTTTTCGTATATTTGCTCGGTAGATATATTAGAATGATTTGATGAACTAATTTCAGCTGGTAATGTTGCAGCTAGTAATTAGTATGAACCAAAAAATAACTATTAAAAGCTTTAAAATTAAAATTTTAAAAAGGATTTCGTTTACCAACCTCTTTGTAACGAAATGGGAATGGGAAACTTCTTTAATCGAAATTTTCCGTCATTGTGGTTCGGTAAGCGTGTTTGCGGATTAGGAGAGAAAGGAGGTTCAGTGGCATTTTTGAGAATTTCTAATAGTTCTTTTATGCTTTGAAAATTTTGATCCATGTTATTAAATACTTCATAGATTTTCATGACATCTTCCTCGTTATCCACTCGACTTCTTCTAAATAGACTTTGTGCATCCCCTCTGTAAAGACTTTGCCGTCTTTCAAAAATACTTTGTCGTTTTTGCCGTTTGCTTAAGTCCACGGATTGGCGAGGAGATGTCAAAGTCTTTGGATAATCAGGATCAATTAATTGACGCTCTTTTGATTGTTTAACATATTTTCTGATAACTGTCATCCAATTATCGAATGCATCATCTGTTAAGGCCTTCAATTGATAAGTAGCCGTTCCAGAGTCCATATTTATTGAGCGAAATTGTCGGTTTGACGATACCGCAGATAATTCAATGTGAATTGTGCCCCTACAAGGAGCTTGTGGTCGTTGATAATAAGACATCACACCATCCTGTACCTCGAACCAACGTTTAGCCCAACCTATACATTATAACAATAAAGTTAGATTACATGTATTTAATAAATCTAATTACTTTTTTCCTACCACACCTTGCATCTTTTTACGCTTCTTTTTCAACAACCATCCAGAAGTTTCTGGTCTACTTTCGGCTTCTTCAATATCGTTGGAGCCCATTTATAGAGTTAGCAATCGAACATATTATATAATCACAAATATCGAGCATAATAACCAACACTTGCCATCTTTTAATGTTACAAAAAAGGTCACCGTTTTCGACGTATTACGAGAAAATGAATTATCTAATCTTGGCAGAAATAATCCCATCAAGATTAATGTTTAATATTATTTCAACATTGAATTAGAAAACCAAAATTATTTTCATACTATTTACCAAAACATAAACAATATGTTCCTTCTTCCTCGACTTGAAAGCTGCCTTTGATAGTAGAAGTTGCAGAATTATAATGCTCAATTGGCAATATTTCTTTTAAATCAAGATCTTTTAAAAGTTGTGTGACCGCTAATTTCTTGTGACTACTTCTTGCAGAGCTTTGATGAGAATAAACTGAAGCAGTTCCAAATGAGGTGCTACCATTTTCATCCTCAATCTCCTCAGGATCTATAGTGTCAAAAGAAGCTCTACTCGCAGGACTTGTGAGACTATAATAGCTATTTGCTCTTCCAGTTTTAAGAGAGGTAGGAGTCGAAGGTCTAAAAGGTAAATTCGGAGATAATAGAGGTTCTAAAGGGGCACCAGTTGTTGCTAATGAGTTTGCTGCATTGAAAATGCTATTTGCTGTTGAAGGTAATGACGGAGTTCTTTGAAATAGGCCAAATGAAATGTTTTTCTTTTTTGTAGAAAACTGCCAAGTGATTGTATTGCCTTGGGGTACATTAATATAATGTTTAAAGACATCTCGTGGAGCCACTTCAACTTCTTGCATGTCTATATGTGGAAAATAAATATAAGGAAGGGAGTATAGATGCGAATGTCGAAAAGGGAGTGAGTTAATTTTATAGTGGTATGGCAAAGTTGAAATTTGTTACGCGAACCACCAACGATTTGCATTCAATAAATAGATAGCGATAGATAATCAACAAACAGAGAAATTTTTGTTGTATAATGTACGCCTTTATCAAATTGTCATTTTTATTTATTTTTTGGTTGAAAGAGAATTTTACTCTTAGTATACAGTATGGAATCTTCAGGTCACTCTTCAACGCCAGGAGTATATACCAAAGTACTTAATTTATGGGTTCATGAATCTAATTTCTCGAAGCAAGATGTAATTTTGAATCCAGATTGTGTGCCAGGTGTAAAACCTGGTCAATTGCTTGCACTGTTTCATCCCAATTCTGCGGTAAATAAGACCAAATATCTTATTGCGAAGGTTGCGTCAATGGATACACTGGATAGCGAAATTTTCATTAGTAGACCTGCTTTGCAAGTATCTGTAACTCCGCAGATAGCCGCGTTATTTGGCTTCTCCGGTTATATGGGACGTAAAGAAGTAATTGCACGCGTAGTTGACGTCGATTCTGTTACTGCAGAGTTCATCGAGCTCACTTTCCGGGATCAATATATTGGGAGAAGTGATATGTGGCGTCTTAGTACCAGTCTATGTGGGAGCTGGATTTACATTGGCAGAAGTATTGAATTTGCAAGTATTCGCGCACAAGTCAAACGAATATATGTGAAAGGTGAACTAGTTTCTGGTGGTTATATCACAGAAGAGACCAAATCAATTTATAGATCCGAGTCTGCAAAGTATTTTATATTTATACAAATGAGTAGGGAAATGTGGGAATTTGATGAGGACGGCGAACTTTTTTTTGAAAAAGCTATTGATGGTTTTCTCCCAGAATTTTTTCAACGATGGAAAGAAGTAGGTACAAATCATGTTGTATCAATAGTTTTATTTTCACGCATATTTTACGATTACGATGAGGATTTAGTAAATGAAGGCACTGTGAAGCAAGATGACCAAGGCAGGTGGTACAAAGATTTTTATAAGGTTATTGTTGATTGGGAAGCACATTCTGATTGGACATCTACAATTGTCCCGTTGAAAGAGGAACTTCTAAAGTATCCTCAAGATATCTTGTTACGCAAGAAGGGTGATTATGAGTATCTTTCCGGGCAGAATTCCTTTGCTTTCGAAGGAAATATATTGGAAGCGATGAATCTGGCATTGAATCCATTTGATAAGCATTATGTAGATAGAGATCTTTTGCGTACAGGATTGTCGATAATCGTGGTGACTCCAGGATGTGGACGGTTTGAAGTCAACAAGAAACTCTTACGAATGACAACTGAGCGGATGATTGATAATGGAATTGGGCTAGATCTTGTTTGCTTATCGAGAGTTCCTCTACATACTGTACCATTATTCCGATTTAACTCGCAGGATCCAGCGAAAGCGCCACTACCCGAATGGTGGAAATCTAGAACAGTAGGTGGCGGCTCTAAATCACAAACCAAAGATCTAAAGCCTGAATTACGAGATCCTTTAGATTATGATGAAGACATTAACGACGCAACGGTACCCTTTTATAAAACTCCAGATTGGATAGATTGTAGTTTTTTTACAAGACACAAAGACAAACCATATAAACCAGATAAATTCGTGACGCGATGTAAGATGTACGAAATTCAAATGATGGGAATAATGGAACACGAGATTTCTTCCATCTTGATTCCATATCTTGATGAAAATCAATCGAAATTTGATTCTTCTGAATCGAGCTTAAGTAGTTCGAAAGTGAACTCGAATGCTATTATTGATTATGAAAGTTATGATGAAAATATTTTTTCTAGTGTAACACAGAAATCTACTATTAAAACACATCATAGCTTATCAAATGCACCCATAACTGGCGAGTCAGATCGTAATTCTGAATATTCGCATTCTCGAAGAAGTCACGATGATCTTATGTCTGCACCATCAAATAGACATCTTTCTAATGCTGAATTATCGAGAAGTTTGCCTAAAATAATATCAGCAGGATTAGTAATGTCTGCTATTCATCCTGATCCGATGATGAAAACAGCATTTTATACTGCTAAATCACGTCGTGTTTCTGTAAGCACCTCGGATGATGGTTTATCAGGTCGCAGTATATACAAGTTTAATAATAATAATAATAGTACGAATACCAACTCAAATTCTTTTGAAGATGAGCAGCAAAAAACGCTTTCATCATATAATGTTGTTATTGATAATGTCTCAAAATCCGATGCGCAACTTTCGCGAGATATTATTTATCAAGATAGCATTGGTCATAAAAATCGGAATGTTACTTATGGCGATGATGAATATATGTTCGAATCGACTTCAAGGACTAAACCGATATCTATAAAGTCATCGACACGTCGTCCTGTACGTAGCACACATCGAGATTCATCACCATCACCGAAAAATAGTTCTTACTCTAGTGAAATCGGACGTTGTTTTGTAAGATTTGCCCCCAAACAACATTACCAGCAAACACTTGTAAATCCATGTAACCCGGGAAAACGTTCCCTCAATCGACCAGGATTAGCCAGTCATATGCGTAGATGGGAGCACATATTTCCAAGAAAGATTGCCAGAAGTACAATGAAATGGAATTCACTATGTACTCCTGCTTGTCTTCCATTAACTACCGATTTTTTCCCGCCGATTAATGAACAAGGTGCTTATAATGAATATACATATACAATATCAGTTGATCCTGAAGGTTTAACAATTGCACCAGACGATACTATATCTGAAGAACGCAAGACAGAAATCTTATTAAAAGAAATGATATCACAAAGATTAGCACAAGGGTATCAACTAATTATTTTCAATACGTCTGAAAATGCAAAACCACCTAAAGGAAATGATGACGATGACGATAATAATAATACTATTAATATTAATAATTTTGGTGGTTTAGCCAAATCTATAAATGAAACTGGCAAATCACTTGCCCGGAAAGAGCAACAACCGAAACCAAATTCATTCTCTGCTTCAATCCCTTGTTATTTAAGTATGGGTTATCAAGTACACATTTTAACATATGATCCTTCTGGTCAGAATGTTGAAGTGAAACGATACTTAAGAAAAACGCAATATTCATCCGATCCGATTCCTTATCAGTGTGTGGTATGGCCAAAAGCTCAGGAAAAGTATGAATTAAGATCAGTCACTTTTAGGTATCCTAATTCAGATTATAAATGGAATTATGTGGATCAGCTAGTCTCTGGATATCAAGACGTTCTTTTAGAAGCACTCAAATTTTGGAGAACCAGATTCATTTTAATTCCAATGGAAAATTTACCCAGCAATATAATAAATCCACCCAACGAAGCTCTTAATGAAGAAGAGATACGCGTGAGCGGAATCTACAGTTTCATGGAAGTTTTCCAAGAAGCCATTTGGATTTCACCTAATGAGTCAGCACAAAAGAAAAAGAATATTAAACCTAAATTAATTCTGACAACTCTTGATCCTTCAGTTTATCTTCGAGCGCCTGATGATATTCCTCCAAGACGTTGGTCGACACATTCTAATGATGAACGTTTGACTAGAGAATCCAAATTGACGACAATAGCTCAAGCTATGTTAAACCCGATTACTGGTGTGGTACGAGAACGTAGATGGCATTTACGACTATATGACAATGCTATCGTAGGTAATGAATTTGTCGACTGGTTAATCAAAAATTTTTCGGATATTGATACACGTGAGGCTGCAGTGGAATTTGGAAATGAGTTACAGAAGAGAGGTTTATTTGATCATTGCACGAAGCGTCATCGATTTTTGGACGGATTCTATTATTATCAACTTAAGAAAGAATATGCTCCGCAAAAAAGTTCAAAAGGTTGGTTTGGAAATCAAAAAAATAATAAAGAAACCGAAAAAAATGAATCGTCTTCAATAAAATCATCAACTGAAGAGGCTGTACAATCACCACCTAAAAGAACTCTATTCGAACTAAGTAAAGCAATAACAATTGATGTTGACCCTAAGAAGAAAAGTGATCGAAAAGAAACAGCAACATTACATTATGATGTGCTTCACAATCCGGATAATTGTTACCATTTTCAATTGAATTGGCTTGGTTGTACTGCACGACTTTTAGAAGAAATATTGCTATATTGGGGTCGATCTGCTGCTAAATATGGTTTAAAACTGGTTGAAGCTCCCGTGGAACAAGCGATGAGTCTAACCGATAATAATCCATTCCAATCGCCAACCTTCATCAAACTCGCTGTTCAACCGCCATCATTGGACGCAAATGGAAAAAAGCTTCATCCTGTTATTAACCCTTACTTATATTTTGAAATACAACTAGTCAAACGCTTCAAATTTATACTTGATGTGGAGGCAGATGATCGATTTCCAAAAGATGTGAAACCCATTTACTCTTATCATAAACCACCATACAAATATTCTCAGTATATTCATCGATCTGGTGTCGCATTTGTACAAATACGCGAACCGGGTAGAGGATATCTTTGGGTCAATAATCGATTAGCGATCACTCAGACTAGTGATAGAACGCCTCGAGATCCGGATGCATTGATGCGCGAGTTTCAAAAATTTTGTGAGGATGAAGAAGAATTGAGAAGATTTTGGGAGGAGACTGCTAGTAAATTGCCTTTTATTGTTGAGTCTGTTGAAGAATCATCATCCGAAGCAACAACAGATGCAGGAACAGATGTTGTTCAACCATACCCGATCAATGAGAAATCGGAGCTGACAACACTGAATTAATTTTATCATGTATATCGTATTTATCAAGACTTTGCATATGTATTATCATCTCGGTAACTCTCCGTTTAGAGAACATAGTTCATAAGACAATAAAAAATTTAATACTTTGTCTGCTATTAGACAAGTTTGAGGATACAGGCCCCGGCGAAAGTAAAGCAGTTCAACTTTTACATATAATTAGCCTTGAGAGCGGGAATTACAGGTTTTGGGCGTGAATTAAGGAATTATGTTTTAGATCTACAAAGATCTGTTTTCACGTGTGCAAGTTGTATTGTACGACCAGAGTTGCGATATTTCAAGAATGATTAATTTTCTTTATGGAATTTTTAAATAGAATATGTTATTCTTTTATTTAATTGATATTTTATCCGTGATGGTTTATGAAGTTTAAACTTATGAAATGAATAAAGATGATTTTTACAAATTAAATAATAAAATATTCTATCTTTTTTATTCCTATCTTGATATCTATTTTCTTTCCTTCCCCTATCACTCTACGTACACACCCCTACAGTATATTACCGGAAATTTAATGTCGATCATTCAACGAATCAAAGTTTTTATTATTAAATAAAAAATTATCGTATTTATTAAACATACGATAAATTAAAGAAAAATAAAGTAGTGAATATACAGTTATATTGGTTCAAATTTAAGAACCTACAATTAATATGGCGTGCTTTTGCCATTGGCTTCAATAACTTTGTCTACGCGTCTAGGTAGACTCAAAATTAACTCACGCAAAGTTTCCAAATCAATACTCACCCATTCCTCTTGTAACATACGAATTAATTCTTGCTTTGATGTAGGTAACGGTCTTCTTTTTCAAATCCGGCAGTCCAAAATATCCCACAGGTGTTCAATCGGATTGAAATCAGGGCTTTGATTAACCCAATCCAAAAGTCGAATGCCATGTTGACATCCACCAAGTCGTATATATCAAGGTGTGACATGGCGCGTCATCTTGTTGAAATGTAACATGTGAATATTGGCGAGTTCAGGGTACAAAATAATTGACAAGAATATTAACATAGACATCTAAATTTATGGTTTCTTTTACTGGCACCAAAGGACCAACCCCATAAGCTTCACCAGGTTTTCGCCATACTCTTACCCGGTCATCCGATTCAAAAAGTGTGAATCTGGACTCATCAGATCAGATTATATTTTTCCATTGCGCTTTCCAGTTATATTTCTCTTGGCACCAATTTAATCGACAAAGTTCTTGATTTGGAGTCAAAAGAGATTTTTTTCTTGGAGTGTAGCTTCTGAATCCTATTTCATCTAAGTATTTGCGAACAGTATTAGCATGATAAAAAGTGTTAAGTTTGCCATTTAGTTCATTTTATCAAGTAAAGAAAACCAATTTTTTAGAATAACTCGTTTTAGTGTATGTTTTTCATGATTGGTCAGAGTTTTTGGCTGACCAGAATGTTTTTCAGAATGCAGAGAATTGGTTTCTCTATATCGTTTGATGGTATCATATACTGTTGCTTGAGGAATATTGAATTTAAGTGTGAGGTTTAGATCTTTGACACCAGCGAAATAAGTGCTGATTATTTGCTCCCTTTGTTCATTCATTAACTCCTTTCCGCACATTATAAAAATGGGATTGTTTTTTTGTTTATTATTGTATTTGTGTTATTATTTACGATGCCAATAAAATTGGCTTTTTAAACTTTGGATCAGCATTTTGCATAACCAATTTCTGGTAATATATTATAGGGATGTATATTTTAATATTACACTACGATCATGAGATCCTCATCAGATGATTCGGTCACTGGACATGGCACTCCTGTTTTTTAGACAAGATTTTGAAAATTGTGAATTTTAGACAAGTTGTCTAAAAATATAAAGAAAAAAAGTAATACAAAATCTAAAGCATTCAAAATATTTAGCTAATCGATATAAGGATAATATTTTTAGACAAATTGTTATAAATTAAATTTTGCATATTCTTATTTTAAATATTTTTTTTCATATTGTCTATTTGTCTAAAAGACAATTTTGCTTCTAATCATGATGAAAAAAAGTTTGAGCATGTGATTCAGATTCCAATGTTGTAAAAGTTATGTTTTTGATAAATTTGTGATTACTTTTTTGATATATCTGCAAGTACTTTTAATTTAGATTACATTTTTGATATTTCTGCATAAAGATATTGTTATCATTTTAACTTTTATCAACTTTTTCACATTATATTTTTAGCATAGTAATATTTATTTAAACTTTTTCTTTTATTTTTACTTTTCTATATTTCTTATATTTTTACCCAATAGCAATAATTCATATTTTTATCCAATTATTTTACATTATTATCGCATCATTTTAGTTTAGATTTCAATTTAATCAATTAATTCATAGTAATTTCAAATTAATTTATATTTCAAATCTTATTAATATTTTATTTTAAATTCTTGTTACATTAATTTAATTAGTAATGCTATGGTTACTTTAAATGAAGGGTTTCTTCACTATTAATAAAAGAGTCATATGAGTTGGAAGAGAGGAATAGACTAATAAAATTGATCAGTGCAAAAATAAGTATCTAAGCCTGTGCCAATTTCGACAGAAATTGGTAAACAATTCTATCAAAGATGAAAAGAGAGGTTGGGAGAGTGTGTTCAAAGGTGTGATTAATAAAAAGAGGCTGCTAATTAAAGAAAAGGGTATTAATATTTCTATACTTGTAGTCATATGTTCTAGTGCTTTCAATACCAAAGAAAATGAATAACTAAAAGAAATATCACTT